TGTAAAGTGCCCAGCGGAAAGTGCCATAGCAGATCAGATGAGAGCATAGCTCTGAAGTAAGACCTGCTTGGTTTCACTTCCTGCTTCTGCCACTTACAGGCTTTCGGATGTGGTTAGTAAAAGTCTCTCTTACAGGTTCATCAAGAAGCTTTAGTTAAATAACACAAAAATACTTGGCATTTGTCCGGCACATAGGGCATGGTCAATAAATGTTAGCTGCGGTCACAAACATTAGGAAAGATCAAACATTTGCTTGAGATAAGCATAGATTTAGAAGGAGCCTCCCCCTTCCCCCAGAGGAGCTCCAGTCCAGACCATTCTGAATGGACAAGTTGCCTCTCCTCGCAGGCTCACCGTCGCCCAGCACCGGCTGACAGAGTAAGGATGATACCTCACAGGGTGTCGTAATTGCTAAGGAAGGGAATGTTTAAGTAAAATCACCCAGTGCACTGTCGAGCTCTCATTGTTTGGGGTTCTTGATGGAAGTCGGGTAGTTTCCGGGATCATTTTTCAGTATATGATCTCAGTTCTCTTCTAGACCTTCTCATCGCTTCACCCCACCCCAACCATCTCCACCCTCTCTCCTGGGAACCCCTGGGGGAGGGTTTGTTGTTAAGTAACAAAGCATGTTGACTAATCAATTTTTAATAACACATATGCTTATGGAGCTTACTTATAAAGGCATGTCAGAGTAGTTGACTTGGGGTAGAATTTAATGTCAATTCAGAACACCCCAGCGCAGAAAGTAAACCCATGGAGAGTCAGGAGGGCATGAGATGGTGTTAAGATGTAATTTTCTAAAAGGTAAAATCGTGACTTTTGTGCAAATATAAAATATAACTTAGCAAAGATTCTAGTCCACTCATTCATTAATGAAGATATCAGTAAGATTTAGATCAGTTCAAAAACCATTTAAGGAGCTAGGTATTTATAGTCAATTTAATGTTAGGAAAAGATTGATGGGTTAGGTATATAAGCAGTTCATGTCCTATAGGACAATAAACCATAATCTTTGGGGATACCTTTTGCAAAAGGACAAAAAATTATTTGTATTTGTATCTCTACTGGAGAAAAAGCTTCAAGTTAACATGTAACAACACGTCATAGAGTAGAGCAAAGTAAATTTCTCTAGATAATCCTCCAGGGCTTGTGGGCAGGGGACAATGTCATCTTGCCACCACATGACATTGAAAGGATGCACCACCCACCTTTATTTCCAAGTTTTGGATAATTTTTAACAATGGTAAATAATTATTTCACTTTATAAACAACCTTTTAACCTTATATGATGCTTACAACAGCCTTGTTGACACAAAAAAAGGGCAAGGAAACCCCATTTATCAGAGGAGGAACTGAGTTACACAGGAGAGAGCAGCTGAGCTGGGAGGAGAGCCCCCATTTCTAATTTCAGGTCCCACACTCACCCCAAACCCCATATTGCATTTCCCCTTTCCAGTTCCTCTTCATTTTAGTCCTATATTGCTCTTGGTGGCACCGTCCCCCTTTAAGACTCCCCTTGGAGTTCACCTGAAGGCAAATGCTTAAAGCAGGGAGCAGTCTCTGTCACCCCTGCCCCTTGCACCCCCAGGGGACTCCTGGTCTGAGTCCTTTTCAGCCCCTCACATGATTTGGTTCCACAACATCAGATGAACCACATCCTACTATCCTGAGCCAAAGAAAATTGTCAAAACATTTTATCTTCCCCTCAGGAAAAAAAAGACAGAATAGATGCTATATTCGAAGAACCCATTTTTTTTTAAGTGACAGGTCCTTTTAAGCTCTACCCTTCTCAGCTACTGTGAGCCACTGTGGGCCACTGTGCCATCTTTCCCCAGGGACGCAGTCCACATCAGACAAGCCCACTGTTTATAAACCGGAATATCTCATTTGAAACACTATTTCTGGTCAGTGTTTTCTCTCCCTAATAAGCAGGATCGTTTCTGTGTTGGAGATGCTGGGTCTGGCTGGCTCCTGGAGGAATAGCATGCAGTAGACGGGTGGCTATTTATCGTGTTAAGCAGTCTGCTGGGAAACTGGCCGCAAGTGTGGCCTGATGGCCCAAATCTATTTCTTCTTCTCAGGGCCATTTATTTTCCTCTCCCATGGACTTCTGTCGCCATGGAAACCATCCCACCAGCAGGATGGCGACAAGAGCCAGCCCTCTGCTCCCTACACTTAGTCAGGGAGGCAACACATACATGAAACAAAGGAAAGAGTAGGGAAGTCTGTGTGTGAGGTGTACAGTTAGGAAAGTAGCTCCTGTAAAGTTCCCTAGAATTCTGAAGTGAGGGGTGAAAATTTTTTTGAGAACATCTGATTCAGGGTCTCTCAGACCATTTACACAATATACGATGACAACAGCAAAGACTCTGTGCACAATAAATGCAAGCTAAGCCCTTTCCTTGCAGCACCCATTTCATCCTCACAGTCACTGCATGAGGCAGGTGGTTGTTACCATCCCCATGACGCAATCAAAGAAACTGAGAGTCCACAAGTCCAGTCACCTGCCCAGGTCCAGCAGGAGAAAGGCACAAAATTGGGACTAAAACCCTGACCGTCGGACCCCAAAGCCTGGACCTGCTCGCCACCTCTCTTCTCACTTCCCATACAGGCCAGCGCTTCCAAGGCCCTGGAAGCCAGTTCCGTCCGGTGTCCCCATTTCTATTTGATCATGTAATCCTCCCTGCCCCCAGCCCCGGACCACTTTGTAACATCCCACAGAACAAGGACTCTGCAGAACAAGATTTGGGCAACCCCAATTCCAGCCAGTTTTCTCATTTTACAGAGGAGCAATTTCAGCCAGGCTAGGAAATGAGTCGCCTCTAGCTGCACAGCTCATAAATGTCAGAGCTGGCACTGCAGGCCAGCCCCCCACCCCCGCCCGCAGGCCAGTGCTCTGCTTGCTGTGTTGCCTCACATCACGGTTTCTAAACCAAACCCTGAGCCAGCAGCTCAGCTCTCGTGGCCAAGCATCGGGGCTAATCCCCTTACAGGATGACTGCTAAATCAGCCGCTCATTAGAACAATAATGCTCAGGCATGCAGGGTGCTTGGCCACTTAGGAAATGCTTCCACATAGCTCTCTGTTTCCAGGCCCCACTGCTTCTGGGCATATTTAAAACAATTCAATAATGAAGCCTTGTTCATAAACTGTATATATACCTCCCAAAGTAACCTTTGAATCAACTGCCAAGTGCGAAAGGATCTCTGTATTCAGCTAGTAGAATCCAAGGTGTCAGGAGCAAGAGGGGATGTCTGCAAGGTTTCACATCCCAGTGGCTTCCGGGAGCCAAGTTCTGCCTGGGAATGAAAGCTCCCAGCTTAGGACAAGGGGGTGGTGGCGAGCATCATCTTGTTGTTCAATTTTAACGTGAATGTAATACTGAACAGGCACAAATACGAATGTGCTCCCCTTCAAATATGTGCAACATGGCTCTTACGCTGAAGCTATGAGTGTGCATTACAACCAAGAGCGTTGGCCTGTCCCAAAGAGCATGCTCAGAGGGCGACACCCTGCCCATCAAGGCCTTTTGTTCCTTTTTGCCCTTAGACATTCTTTCCCTCCTGCCAGGAATCCCTTTCTTCTTTTCTGTCAGCTCATCTTGCACTACCCCGATCCAGGGTCACCCCCTCTAAGAAGCCTCCCTGGATTTCTCATATGGGTTTATTGGCACCTTATTCTGTGCTCCTAAAGTATTTGTGAAAATATCAGCAGCTACCATTTTTTGTGCCTAATACAGTCAGATACTTTACATCCATTATCTCTGTATCTGACAGGTAAGAAAAGTTGGCTCAGCTGGTCCAAGGTCAGTGTGGCTGTAAAGTTGCAAAGCTGGGTTTGGAATTCAGGTCTCTCAAACTCCAGAGTCCATGCCTTTCTACTGCACAACAGGCAGTTTTCTTGCCTCAAAATTACCCCCTCCAGGAGCAGGTGATAAATATGCCTTTTCTGCTCCATCTCCCCCTAGACTGACTTCCTCTAGGGCACACCTGAGTCTTTATGATGTATCCCTGCGCCTGGCACAGAGTAGATGTTAAATAAATGGTTAAGTGGATCAACAGCTTGTTGGATCATGAGCTTATCCCTCCGTCTTGCTAGCTGATGGAGCCTTGCTTTTGATAAAATCATAATAAAGTACATACCTGCAGCCAATCACCCCCACACCCCCAAGCCCAGTGGAGAGTCAGGCATGTTTCCCAGCCAGCAGGTCCATATACTAGCCCGCTGCTTCTCCAGTTCTGATGTAACCCAGGTCTTCTACATTTTGTTGAGTTGAAGGTTCTGATTTAAAAGGGCTGGGGTGGGGCCTGAGGGCCTGCACTTCTGGCAAGCTTCCGATGACCCTGCTGGTTTCAAGACCTCCTTTGAGAGCCATTCGGGTCTAAACACAGCAACAGCAGCAGCTGCAGCTGGTGCACTTCTGTCCCCTCCAGCTGGTAACGGGAAATAAAGCTGACTCGTGCGCTGCTCTCCTTCCAAAGCAGCACCGGACTGCAAACGCTCCTGCTTTCCCGTGTTTTAGCAAAATATTTAAGTTATGCTTTGGGCTATAAACACTTGGCGGGGTGAACACTGGTTTGCCCTTTGGTTTCATCACACCCAATCAATAAATCACAAGTAAATGAGAGAGAAGGGAGATTTGCTGGAAGATTCCATTCCAGTGACAAGTGGATCAAGGGAGTCGGGGAGGGCAGGGGAAGGAGCAGATGGTCCCTCGCAGCAGCCCTGGCAGCTAGGGACAGCACTGTAGGCTGGGAGGGAGCCCCATTGCATTTTTATTGGGAAGTGCCCCACCCTTCCACTTGTCTGCCCTAAGGCCACTTGCCCAGCCGTTGTTCTGGTGAACGGTGAGTGATGGTGAACAGTTAGCCATGGCTTGTTCATCTCAAGCCCTTTGCACCTCACACAATCCCTTTGCTGGCATGCCAGCCGTAGAGGTCAAGCATCCTTGGTCTAAGACTTTTGAAAGGAAAACACCCATTTTTCTGCTCTTTTTCCAGATGTCCCTGGGCCAGCAGCAGTCAGCGAGAGGTGTGCCTTGTTTGCGATGCAAGGGGACGTGTTCAGGCTTTGAGCCACATCCGTGGAGGTAACGGACTTTGTCGGGGAGGATCTGCCTGCTTTCAGTTCTTGGCTGTCCTTTCAGGGAACCCTGGTCATTCTCTGCTGGGACTGCATGGGATGCACGTTGTGGGGAGGAGTGGCCCCGGAACAAATGCACTCCCTCTTGGCCTAACTCAGAAATGCCAGAAAAGCCCTTGGGGAGCCAAGATGAAGAAGGAGCTTAGCATCCCATTAACTGTTTCAAGGTGGAGGCTCAGCCCAGCAAGCGCTGCGCTGGGAAGGTGTGGGCAGTTGTTAGCTGGAGCCTGGTGCACTCTGGGAAGAGCTGTCTGTCCTGGGGTTTGGTGCATGGGGTTGCTCTCCTCCTACTGCACCATTGTCCCTGTTGGTGGGTTCTGATCTGAAAGTGACCCTGGGACAGAATTAAAAGGCATTGTGTCCACATACTTAAAAACCAAGTCCTAGTATTCATATCCACGCCAGAGGACCCTAAGGGCCAGCTGGACTTTTCTCTTTTTTTTTCATTGAGGACTCTGAAAACTAGAGGCAGGGCCGCCACACTGCAAGGTCCCAGCATTGTTCACATTAGCATCTATGTGGATGGCACCCCCAGGAGTTGGGCAGGGCACAGCCTGTGTGACTATCCCTGTGACTATCATCAGCTTAGATTCTTTATACAGCTTCGGAGGCCCTGTGAATCTCTGTAGGGTACAACAGTGAGAAGGAGCTTTTATCTCCACTACCAGGGCATTGCCTTGGGCACTTAATGGGGGAACAAAATTTGGGAGGCATTTGCCTCAGAGATGTTGACTTCCAATATGAGAAAGCAATTATAAAAATATTTATTGAATTGAGCTAAATCTTTTATATTTAAATGTTGAAATAACCCTTAGTAGTGGGTATTAGTATCTGCATTTTGTAGATCAGAAAACTGAGGGTATGTAATGGGGAGATGGCTACTAAATGGCAGGATTCAAACTCGGGTCTGTGGGACACCCATCCCATGCTCTCAACCATTCTGGGTTCAGTATGCCGTGAGCTTTCAAAGCACGAAACTGTTCCTTGACGCCATTCCCTCACAGTCCTCACCTCAGTGGAGCTCATGTGGTCTTCTGGATGCAAGGACCTTCAAGGTCATCCAGTTTCACTTCCTGCCTGTCCCCTGCACAAATTCCTCCCACCACTAAAACACTCCCAGAAGGCAGACACCCCCCACCATGCATCTATTTTGGCCACTTGAACTCTTTCTGGCCTGAAGGAAAGTCAGCTTCCGTATCATGTCACCCCATTGGTCCTGAATCTGCCATCGGAGTGTTGTAGAACAATGTCTAGAATCATCAGCTTAGATTCTTTATACAGCTTCGGAGGCCTCCTTTTCTAGTTCTTGGGTCAGGCGGCTAATGTTCCCTAAGTGCACAGAGTCCACTCAATATTTCTCTTCTCACAAGGATCACAGCCCTGTGCTTCTTATTGTCTGACATCTGAAAATGATTGTTTACTGTTGTTTGTATGGTTGTGTAGGTGTTTGCAGGAGGAGGGCAATTCCGATGCCCTATTCCTCATGGCTGGAAGCAGAAGTCTCTCAGGATCATTTAAATCCCTACATCTCCTCCCCATCCTATAAATGATTTGAACATCAAGTGAATTTATCATTATATAGACAGATTGCAGCCTATAGATCCTTCCTGCATCTCAAAGTGTCATCTTTGGTTAGGACAACTTTAACAGGACCTAAATTCAAGCCATACAGGAGCAGCGAGGTCCCAGTCAAACCACTTTCATGCTCCAGTTCCCATACTCTCCATAGTTTGAAATATATATAATGATCCAAGTGGTAGCCAGCCTGGTTTAGTGGGAAGGGCCCTCAACTAATTCAGAAAACTAATCATCAAAGGACAGAATTCACGTGCCGACTCCGCCTGAACAGGACACTTCCCTTCTCTAAGCCTCAGACTTAGCCACTGAGAAACAGAGATGTTGGAGCTGATGCGCTCTGGGGTCCCCTTCAGCTTTACAGCCCCGTAGTTTCCGGTAATTGTTTACAATCAAATGAACCATTCGCAGGGTTGGTAGAATTGGAATGGAACTAGTATCAGAAACACAGAAGAGGAGCATTTCTTAGAGGGTACAAGAGCAGATTTTCAGAACAAACATTATGAAAACAAGGAGTCCCCCCAGCAGCCTTCAGCATCCTCCTCTCCCACTAGCCACATGGGCTCCTTCCCCATCTGGCAACCTCCACAGGCTGCTGGATTCCCCTTCAAGGTAGAGGAAAAGACACCTCCAAGGCTCGAGGGGTTTCAGAGAGCCCAATGCAAGGTCCCTTCCTGGCATGCACTTTTTTTTTTTTAACCAGCACCCGAGGACATTTTTTCCATTGCTTTTCAGAGAGAGTAGAAGGGAGAGAGAAAGAAACATCAATGTGAGGGACACATCAATTGGTTGCCTCCCGCACGTACCCCGACCAGGGCTGGGGATCGAACCTGCAACCGAGGCACGTGCCCTTGGCTGGAATCAAACCCAGGACCCTTCAGGCCAAGGGCCAGTGCTCTAACCACTGAGCCAAAACAGCTAGGGCTGCCCAGATTTCTTTATATTATTATTATCCTAATTACCTTTAGTTTTTCAATATACACTGACTTCAGTGGGTGGGGGGGGGGAACTGATTTAAGGAAAACAGGGGACATAATATGAAAAATGGAAGAGAGACCGCTGGCTCCTCCAGTTACACAATTTTGCATTCTTAGGGGTTGCTCTTGATAGACTCCCAAACTCATGATGACAACAACCCTTCTCGCACGGTCCTGTCTCCAGGCCAGCTTCAGCAGCCACCCTGGAATGATAGTGTTAATTCTGCCTCTTCTCACGGGGACAGGGGATCTTCATAAATAATTCAGCAGTAACATAATAGCTGGGCTTCCTATGCTTTTCAAGGGAAAATCTAGAGAAAGTCAACCAGAGCTGCTTAAATTCCTGAAAGGGACCGAGTAGTGACTGTCGCCCTGTCTTGAGCGTCAGAATCACCTTGGGAAGAGCATCTCAAATGCTCAGCCCTGGTCCCACTCCAGACCCGGGAGCCTGGCCAACAGGGCCGGGGCGCGGCATCTCCAAGCCCCCCCAGCTCCCCCCACGGGCGAGGCGGATCAGCAGCCAGGTTTGGAGACTCATCAACTAGACCCGCAGTCAGCAAGCTGTTTGTGAAGAGCCAGACAGTAATCATTTTAGGCTTTGCAGGTCATGCGGCCTCTGTCACACCTACTCCCCTTGGTCCTTGTAGCATGAAAGCATTGATTTATGTAAGGACATGGAAATTCACATAGTTTTACCCATTTAAAAATGTAAAAACTATTCTTGGTCCACAGGCCATACAAAAATAGGACTTGGCCTTAAGCCACAGTTTACCAACCCTGATGTAGACCAACCCTCTCGTTTGATAGGGAAGAAACTTGACCGCGGACGTATGGTGGGCTAGTGTTCAGACTGAGATGATAGATTTCAAGCCTGTGCCTTTTCAATTAAAGGTTTTCTATGACTGATTGCAGAAAGGGTCATTTCCACACCACTGAGGGTCTTTCTAGTGTATCTGTGTCCTCTACAATCCGGGTGCCAGGAAAGAGTGGGGTGGATGGACTTCTATAAAGTCCCAGCCATGGGCCTGGCAACACAAAAAACATGAATAAAGGAGAAGTAATGTAGACATGACCTCGTGGAACATCTTTCATCAGCATTTTCCATTTCAAAGTGTTTGCATTCCCAGCATCTCTACTAGCACCTGAAAGTCTGCATTAACCAGGAAGGCAAGTGGCAGCTTCCTCACCTAGTTTCACATACAAAAGATACCCGGGAGGTCAGAGGGGCCGTGGGAGACCAGGATCTCCCTGACCTCCTTTGTCTTCCTGCACCTTCCACTTCCTGCCACTGCCCACATTAAACCAGGTGCCATCGCCTGTCCTCTGGAGAAGCAGTCTCCTCTGCCTCATAAAGGGGGGAGGCGAGAGAATATTACTGATCATGAATAAAATTCCACAGTTCCACAAAACAAGCCACCCCTTCTTCTGAGAAAGAAACCTCGTTTCACCCTGCATGGAGGGTCATATTCTCTTTTGTAGTGCCAGAGTTACCCTTGAGACTGTTGACTTTAACTTTTCTCAAATTCGCCCACTGACTGGGACCTTGGACTGCAGGCTTCTCTTCAAATAACGGAGATGCTGCAATCTTCCCCCACTGAAGTCACGCAGCACATCAGTGTGTTAAAGACAAGAAGCAGCCTCTCACTGAAAACTGTGTTCCACCTCCTGGAACCCAGTGTTTTCCAAACTCATCACCACTGAGCCCTTGTCCGCCTTCCACATACCGGCCTCCTGGAGAAATGGCCCAGCCCAGCTGAACTCCCACACAGCACATGCAACTCTCACACGGCCCAGCCTGATTGTACTTTACGCTATGGCTTCCATCTGATTCTCTCTCCTCTCCCACCCCAGCTGTAAGTTCTTGGAAGGTTGTGATGGGTCCTTCTTCTCTTCATGTTATGAGAGGGTTTCTCAACCTTGGCACTACGGCCACTTGGAACTGGATAACTCTTTGTTGCAAAGAGGGAGCTGTGAACTGTAGGATATTTAGCAGCAACCCTAGCCTCTACCCTATAGAAGCCAGTAGCACCCCATTGTGACAATCAAATATGTCTCCAGACATTGCCAAATCCCCCTGGGGGACAGAATTGACCTGGGTTGGGAACCACTGATGTAGACCATCAAGGCAGGCCCACAGTCAATATTTGTGACCTATACTTAAATGTATCAGTCTCCCAAGTTTAAAGAGCAAAGGAGGGTTTCTTTGGGCATGCCTGGCTGGGACGTGCTCATGCAGCTGTGGTGACGTATCTCTTGCTGAGGCTACCCCATCCTGCGGTAGGTCTTGAAAGAGGTCTTAACAAGCTCTCAAATCGCATGCATAGAGCATCTGGGATACAGCATGCCTACGGTGACAGGCCAGAGAGGGAGGGGCGAATTTTTCCTCTCACGCCATGGCCATGGAACTCTGCATCTCTAAACTGAAACAGCATGACACAGAGCGGCCAATCACTTCTGTTTCTGTCAGAGAGAATTTGAAGCTCCCCCAGGATGCCTTTCCTTCTCCCGGCCTCTCAACTAAGACTTGCCAGGCAACACCAGTCTCTCCAGCCTGAGGGGTTTTCCAAGCCCATTCCCTTCTCATGGGGTCCTGTCCACCAATTTCTTGAAGAAAATTTCCATCTCTATTCCAACTTCAGAATGAGTACTCTAGAGTTTAAAAGTTGCTGAAACTATGAGGCTCAGGATCTTGGGAGATAATTTTTAATTTCTTAAAGCAGGGGGTCCATACCTTTTTTAGAAAGGGCCAGATAGTAGATATTTTAGGCTTGGGGGGACCAGATGGTCTCTGTTGCAACTACACAAGTCTGCCATTGTCGCCCCAAAGCAGCCACGGAAGATATGCAAGTGAGTGGTCATGGCTGTGTTCCAATAAAACTTTATTTACGGAAGCAGGTTCTGGGCCAGGTTCAGCCTACAGGCTGTGAAGGCTCCTGCTTTAGAGCATCTCTAATGAATGAACCACCCATTGCTCTCAGATTACCACGTGTCTGCTGCCAACCTTTCCAAGTTGCTAAAGCTAAACCTTGCCCTTGCTTTCAGAAGGGTAGATGCTGCCAGTCGGAGGCTCTGTCTCTCTTTTCTGGAGGTTGATCTCACCTGTCCCCATCTCTACACCCCCTCCCCCAGGAAAATATGCAAGTCATGCAAATGCAGTCAAGAGGACCACTGCCTGAGCTCCGACCTGGAAGATGATCGGAAAATTGGCCGCTTGCTGATGGACTCCAAGTATTCCACCCTCACAGCCCGGGTGAAAGGTGGGGATGGCATCCGGATTTACAAGAGGAACCGGATGATCATGACCAATCCCATTGCCACGGGGAAGGATCCCACCTTTGACACCATCACCTACGAGTGGGCTCCCCCTGGAGTCACCCAGAAACTGGTAAGACAGCTTCCTCCAACCAAGTGGTTGTTTTCTTGCCCTTGTGAATGTTAGCCATGCCACAGGTTCATGAATTTCAAGGACGAGATAAGAAGAGGGCAAGGTTATAGAAATAGTAGGAATGGCTGTGGTTTCATTTCTGTTCCTACCTCACAATGTGATCTTGAAGTGATGACTATCAGGGCCTCAGGTTACCTCATCCATAAAGTGGGTAGAGTTGTTCATCTGCTCTCTAAGGGCCCTTCCAACTCTAGTACAGGCTGCCTGTGGTTCCTTGTGGGCTCCTCACTTCTTAACAGAGGACGGCTCATGATCCAGACCTCTCCAGGTGCTTGTCTCCATCTGCACGATGTTCATTTCCCCTCAAAGTGGCTGGGATGCGCCATTTGCAAGCCTCTAGGAGGACAGAGAAGCAGCCCATGCTTCTCCCTAACTGCTGACGTCTCTTGGGCTTAGAAGGGAGAGCCAAACTGGTTTTTCAAAACTGTGGGGAAAAGGCACCCAGAGAAGGCTTGGGCAAATAGTTGGAGGAGCCCTGAGGAGGGTAGAAAGGATAAGGCTCACAGAGAACAGGTGACTTGCACAAGGTCACACCCTGGCTGTCTCCTGGAATTTCCTGGGGACACATAAAAAGTTTCTACACACAGACCTCACCCCAGACCATTAAACCAGAAGCTCCAGATTGCAAGACCATAATCCCCAGAAGTGAGCAGTTCATGATGCCCCAGGTAGCGCCACGTGCAGCCGCTTTCAAGACCCAGGGGACCAGTCCAATTCTGAATGGACCACTCCAATTTCAACAAGCATATAAATCATCTGGAGAGATTGCAGCAATGCATCCAGGAGGCTTGCGCGGGTCCTGAGATTCTGCACTCCTGACAAGCTCCCAGGGGATGCCGGGGCTGCTCTTCCCTTACTTGAAATATCCTGTCCCTGTTCTTGCATGGCTGCGTCCTTCTGACGGTCAGGTCTCTAACTATGCAAACTACAGTAGATACCGCCCACCCTCCTGATCACCTTCTCTCTCTCAGTTCTCCATTGTTTCTTTAAAAGCTTTTAGAGCAAACTATAATTGTCTCATGAGTGAAGCAAAATCCACCAGGACAGACACCATACTGTCCTATACACTGTCCTATCTGGGCCTCACACCGTGCAGGGTACGTAATGGCTTTGAGTATTTGTGCTACGTCACCTTCCTGGCCGGTGACATTCCACATGTGGCCTATGGGCTGGTGCCATTGCACAAGATCCTTGCAACTGGTCCACAACGAGAAGTATAGAAACCGAGAATAAATGTGGGCAAATTTTCATAGCAATGGGCATCCAAGCGTGTGATCAGAGAACTCTCATTGCCTGTGGTCAGATGCCCCTGAAAGCCTCACATGGCAGGTGTTGCCCTCTCATCAGGTGCAGGAGCCCACAGATCACTCTGCAACCGGTGGGAAGATTAACCAAACAAACCTGACCTTCACCACGGAGAGTTTGAGCAGCACAGTTCTAATCTAGAGTGTATGAGGGGGACATCCCCTCTAGATAAAGTGAACAGAGGCAAAGATTCATTTTTTAAAACTGTACTTTTTTAAAAGTATTTTTTAAAAGAACACTTCAGCATTCATGAGCTCAGGCACCCTGTGAAGTAGGAATTATTTCACATGTAAGTTAACAGAATGGTTAATTGGCCTTTGCCAGTTTGAGGGACTAGGCAGGGGCAGATCCCAGGGCCACAGAGGGTGGCACCGAACAACAGCAGCACCCAAGCATGCCAGCTGGTTCCGAGGGCAGGCCTGCCTCCAGTGCACAGGGCTGGGTAAGCCATCAAGTGGTCTCTGAGATGTCAGTGGAAACTACAGCAAGCAGCTCATAAAAGAGCTGGCTGTGGGCGTCAGGATCTGGCTGGTGAAAACCCCAAATGCTTTGGCCCCAAACTAATCAGAGGACGGCATCATCAGGCCATGATTAATGCTGGCTCATAAAACCACACGGGATAAAGGCCCTTCTGTCTGCCCTGCATCTGGCCTGCCCAGCAAGTCACATTTTTGAGATTGGACAAATCTCCCTTCCTATTCAACTTCCCGACTTTTTTTAATTCCCAAATGATTGAGACTGATTATATTTTGGAAATGGGATAGAATCTTGCTGTCATCCTTCCCAACCAGAATGAAAGCCAGAGAAATCCTTAAGCCTTTAAAAACTGGTCACAGTAAACCTGATTGCTAATACTTGTTGAGGACTTACTATGAGCCAGGCACTATACTAAGAGCTATCCATGCATGATCTCACCTAACTTCCCAACACTCTTAGGGATGTAGTATTATTACCCTCATCTGCAAAAGGGAAAACTGAGGCTCAGAGAGGTGGCACTGCTAGCCAGATGTCCCCCAGCTGATTTAAATGGCAGAGACATGTCCCAAAGTCAGGCCTCCCTGACTCCAAGGCTTGGGCTGTTCCCTGCCAGGCCAGGCCAGCCCAGGCCAACTGGATAGGTGGAGGGGGAGGCAGGTATCTTGGGTTAGCATTTCTAGGGAAGGCTTCCAAGAACATGAGGATGGGGGTTGAATGGGTTTTGAAAGCTAGCCAGGATTTGGGGGGGAGGCAAGATAGAAAAGATGAAGGGAACCGCCAACCATTGAGCATTTTGTATATGATATCAACACCTCGACACTCCCTGTGTGCTGGGTCCATTACTGCCCCATTTTATAGGGGGGCAAACAGAGGCTCGTGAGGAGCCTACACAGAGGTAGCACTCATTCCTCACCCTCCACTCCGGCACCCATGGCAAACATCGCTGAAGAGTGAGAGCACTGTCTCCCATTGAGCCCTCAACGAGCCTCAGAATCCGTCTCAACACAGCATTCTGGGTATTGACGAGGAATGACATGTAAGATGAAGCCCATTCCTGTCCTTTTCTGAGAGCTAGAGAAGAGTCAGGAGGACCAGAATCAGGACTGGGTCCTGACTTCAGAACCCACGCGTGTTCTGCCCAACCCTGAGAACAGAGCTCTTCCCTTCCACTTTTCTCTCTGCATTTTTAATTTCTCTCCTGATAAAGCCTGGTTCCAGAAACTCTTCTCCCAAGATGTCCCAGCCAGACAGCAGACCACCAAATGACTCAGAAAGGTCCTCATGAAAAACGTAAAACCTAAACCAACCTTTCCAGCTGGGCTGAGAAAAGGCCTCTTGCTAAGGGCTTTGGGAACATGGCCTTAGTCAGCTTCCTGGGTACCTGGGACAGCCTCTTACAGGCTCTGATGGCACTGGCAGCTGACTCAGCCCCGGCCCTCTCCCCACCATCCTTGCCCAAGTCCGTGCAGTCCTTAGTAATTGTCTGAAGGGCTGTGTTGAGGAGGATTCTGAGACCCTCATCGGGGTGATTAGTAATGTCTGCCCTGGGTGTGTGCCTGGGAGGCGTAGGCAGGAGTCTCAGGCCAGCCAGGCCAGGGCAGCCATCAGAAAGCACACACGAGGGGCAGCTGTGTGCCGTGTCCTTGACGGCGCAAAAGCAGAGAGACGACACCCAGCTGGGGCTGGGAGCTGCAACAGGAGCACTGGGCCCCTGGGAAGGAAAACAGCCTGTCTCCAGGGCCCCAGCCAGGAACATGTGGGTTCTGGCCACATACACCCACAGAGCCGTGAAAGGATACTGCAGATGCAGGGATCAACCAGAGGCTCGCTGTGAGGCCACCGCTCCAGGACTTCCAGAGTTTATTTGTAAAGCTGAGCAGGAAGGGGTGCAGTCCCTTTAAGGCCAGAGCCACAGACATATCCCGGGACTGGGGAATCCTGGCACCAGGCAACACCCACCCTGACGTGATGACAAAGGGAGATCCCCCAGAGATGGGGCGACATTTTTTTCTCTTTGCAAATCACCCATCTTCTAGAGAGGCAGAATAGAAGGGGTTGAGACCCTAGCTGCTGAATTCAAAGCTGTCCCTACCTCAAACTAACTGTGTGACCTTGGGGAGTTACTTAACCTCTCTGTGCCTCAGTTTCCCAAGAGGTAATATGGGGTGTTACTAGAATTAAATGGGTTCACATACGTAAAGCACCTAGAAGAGTACCTAGAACTTAGTAAGTACCACCTGTTAGCTATTCCCATCATTTCTTAAACCGCTCAACCTTCAGGGAGTAGGCAGCCTTCATTGAAGAGGGGATTCTTCCATGAGTTGAGTCAGCCGTGCTACTGAGACTGCTTCCACATTCGGGCAGAGTGAGCAAAACCCTCATCTCCACTACTCCAGAATCCTTCCTTAGATCCTAGGAGCAGGGCAGGCCCCAGGCAGGAAATGAGAAGAGCTGGTGTGGGTATTTGCCCCCAGGGGCTGTTTCCTAACCACTGCCCAAGGCCCTGAGCCCTGCCCAGGCTGTTGGTTAAGGGACTGTTGCTTCCCTTATCCTCTGGATGGTCACATCCACTCTCCCCATCCACTGTCTCCAGAAAGGCCCTGACCCTCAGATGTCCTGTTTCAAATGCACCCAGGAGGACCTGTGAAAGGGCTCACTTCTGGGCCCCTCCAGACTCCTAAGTCAGAGTGTCTGGGTGGGCCCAGGAAGCTTTGTATCAGGTCTCCCAGTGATTCCTATGCAGCATCAAATTGGAGATTCAGTTCCTCAGACCTGCCTGTCTGGCCTGTTTGTGCTGGAAGCCACCTGCAGTTTCATATTGGTCAAAAGAAAAGCCATGGGTCATCCTGGTCTTCCCAAGACAGGTTCAAGGATAAGCCCTTCCTAGGCATGTAGTCAGCTTTGTGGCTCCATGGAGATTCTTACTCTCCCAAGTGTTGGGTGAAGGACCTTGGCCTCTTTGGCCAACAAGAATCCATCACCTCCTTGGTCCGTTTCATGGGCTGTAAACTCAGTGCTGCTGCTCATCTCTCTCTTACTCATGGGTCAAGTGAAGTCACCATATGCTTCTCACGATCACCACGACCGTAACGATCATGCAGTCTACCCTGAACTTTGCAGATGAGGAAACTGAGGCCCAGAGGGGCCAGGTACTCTCTCAGTCTTCCACAGAGAGCAACAGCCAGGCTGGAGCTAGAAACCCAAATTTCCTGACACCCCAGGACTCTGTCCACCATCCAGGCTGTCTCCCACATTGGGAAAGCACCTTGAAAGGTATCAGGGACAGTGCCAATGAACAGGGTGTGCTGTGAGTCCACAGTGCCAGAAGCTGTCTCAGCTGCTGTCCCCAGAATTTGGGGCAGAGCCACCAAGGGGGCAGCCATAGCCACCCTTCTACTGATGAGTCCCACAGGAACCCAGGTCGCCTCCTCTCCCTTTTCTAAAAGCACTCTTATCCAAAATTCATCTATGATGAAACTCGGCAAATTGCAGGCTCTGGACTAGTACCCCCACCCAGGTTCCTCATTCCTGCTCCCCAAAAGCAGACAACTGAACTGATCGCTCATTATAAACTGCAGCATGAATTTCCAAGTTGATTCATAATCCCCAATGATGCAATATGAGGCAGGCGGGTTCTGAGACAGTAAATACGGCAGCAGCCACCTGGGCAGTGGGAATCAGGCAACCTGGTACATGTGTCAAGGTCATGATCAAGGTCCAGCACCAAAATGGAGAACAGTTGTCAAGGATAAACACTTTGCCTTTCACAGGTTCTCATGCTGTGTGGCCTTGACCTTTGTTTCTCCCTATCTCCCCATCCCTGGGACCCACCAAAGTAAAAGATGTCTGTTCATTTATTTTTTTGTAAAGGCCAAATTGGACAGTTATCTCTGAACATATTAATATTCAGATGGTTACCATTCATATCCATGTGGAAATGTTATTGATTTCACACCTTGTTGATTCTATTAGAAGGTGTCTTTGCATATTTTTAAATTAATAAACCATGAAAAACCTTACATCCATAATGATTTAATTATACTTTTCTAAGAAAAGCAATTTTAAACTAGATTGACTTTTTTTAATGAGGAGCATCGACATGGGGTAAGTAAAAACATTCCATTTTGAAGGAAACAAAATCTATGTCCCAAAGCCAGCAAATCGAAAATGAGCATCTACTTAAATCTCACCATTCTCATCAAGAAGTGACCAGTGACTACAACCTGGGGGAGAGTGAAAGCTTATGGAGGCCTCTTTTGGGTGTCACCAAGATTCACAACATTTCTCCCTTGAGAATCCTTGGGTTCAGCAGGATCCTGAAGAAGCAGGAACTTGCTCACCAATTCCAGATCTCACCAGGTCCCGGGCCTCGGCCTGGGGCTGGAGAATCACCGTTGGTTTCTCTCCTCCTGCCCAGGGCCTGCAGTACATGGAGCTCATCCCAAAGGAGAAGCAGCCAGTGACGGGCACCGAGGGCGCCTACTACCGCCGCCGCCAGCTCATGCACCAGCTCCCCATCTACGACCAGGACCCCTCTCGCTGCCGCGGACTTTTGGAGAACGAGCTGAAACTCATGGAAGAATTCGTCAAGCACTACAAGAGCGAGGCCCTCGGCGTGGGAGAGGTGGCCCTCCCGGGCCAGGGTGGCTTGCCCAAGGAGGAGGGCAAGCAGCAGGAAAAGCCAGAGGGCACAGAGCCCACCGCCCCGACCACCAACGGCAGCATCGGTGACCCGGCCAAAGAATACGTAAGTCTCTCCCGGCCCCCAAGGCTGCTGCACCCAGGCCAGGCTTTCCCCCCACCCATGCACTCATGCATACAGTCGTGCCTCCAGGAGCTAGTTGGTGCTCATTTATTCTGTGCCTGGCACTGTCCAGTGGACAGTGATACAAGGTCACTGCCCTCCAGAGTCTCACTGTCCAGTGGCAGTCACAGACAACCGAACTGTCGCAGCTTAGAGAAAGGGCATCTAAGCTTGCTTGGGGTGAAGGTAGGTCTGGGTTAGGAGCTGAGGCCCAGGCTGGCCTCAGAAGAACTATGAGCCACCCAGGCCTTCAGGCTTTCGGGGAAGACCTGTGCCGCCCTAAAGAGGTGAGCATGTGCAAAGAAAGTTCCAGAGAGCACTGCAGAGTCAGAGGATTGAACAAAGTCCCATGTGACTAGGCCTGGTGAGCTGAGGGGAGGCGGAACACAGGCTGGCCAGGTCAGCGGGGTCATGCTTCCCGAAGGGTCAGGCCACCCACCCATTCATCACTAAGTACTGATCAGCCTGTACTGTCTGCCAAGCCCAGGAAGTCAAACAAGCAGAGGCCACTGTCCCACGTGGGAGAAAGCCATGGGTTGTGGCTTCACTCTCATGGCCATGGGAGCTGTGGCAGGCTTTCCGTGGGAGGTTTTGTGGGATCTGAGCCGTGTTTCTCTAGTTGTAGTGTGAGCGATATGCTGTGGGGGGTGAGCCTCTGGAGGCTGTCTGAGAACACACAGGAGAGCCAGGGTCTGGGTGGTGGAAGCTTCAGGGATGGGTTTGCCTTGTTGTTCCCCCCCCCAGAAAGTGAAAGGACAAGCTTAAGACTGGTGTTGCTGGTGCTGATGTTTGCTAAGTTTCATGGCTTCCAGCTCCCTTCTGCTTTTTGCACACACACACCCCCAACCCCATTCCCCTCATCAGTCAGGTGGCCTGATGTTTCTATTTGACATTTGGAGATAAACATACATGGGGTCTCAAGCAAATTACCTGGCTTGCTGGGAATAGGCTGGCAATCACCTGTGGGAGCCAGACACCCCAGGGGAATGTCAGCCCAAACAATGCTGTCACGACATCCAGAAGGGCCAGCTCTTTCCTCCCTGCTGCAGTGACTCAAACTTGTTACCTCAGTCTCGAGTCCTGCATCTCCAATGCCATCTGTTGGCATGTTCATTTAGGATCAGCATCCAATAAACTATGTTTCTCTGAGAACTCTAAGACAAAAGAGCAAAACTTATTTTCTCTACCACACGTTTGGCGACGATGTTGAAAAGACCCATTTCTCAGAAAGACTATATGTCCCAGAGACTTTAAAATTAGATCCACTGATCGTGTTTTATAAACTAGTCTCCTCCCCAGCACTGCCTTCTAGTCACCCTCAAATAGCTATTTGCCCTTAAGGATTAATGCTGTGTAATTCCAAGTTGGAAGGCAACTTCTTTAAGTCATCGTGACATTTCCCAATTGCCATTCCCAAGAGGCAGATGCTGATCTCAGAACGTGTTTTCTCTTGGACTCAGCCCCACATTTTGTTCACTATGAAAGTGGGGCAAAGGTGGCTGAGATCCCAGATCCCTGCCTACAGTCAACTTGAGGAAACAATCTGACACTTAGGAAGCATTTAAACAAAACCAGACAGTAAATGGCAGATTTCACAGTTAGAAAGTAAGGTAGGGACTCCAAAGGAAGCCAATATTGATTGGCCTGGGCTGGCTGGGAAAGACAGTGGTCTCCTTCCTTACCCTACCCCCAATCTAAATTCAGTAACTAATTATGTAATTAGTGGCTTCAGGTCTGTGGCTGCCTCTGGAGGCTGAGGTCTTTTGTTCATCTCTGTATCTGCAGCAGGTGCCCTCAATAGACATAGTAGGTGCTCAATAAATATGTGATCCATGAATGAATGACCAAATGAATGTTCAAACTGAACTGAGCCTGGAAGGACAGGGGACAATTTGGATGGCCATTTTGCCTAGGAGGAGAAGGAGATCTCAAGGTCACATTCATCAAGCACCTGCTCTGTCCAGATGTGATAATCACTCTCTCAGGGTCTTTGTTTAATTCGCACAGTGGCCTGGTGGGGTGAGTTTCACCAACCCGTTTTACAGTTGAGGAATCGGAGGTTTAGAGAGGATAGGTAACTTTTCCAAGGTCCCCCAGTTTCTAAGCAGAAGGGCGTGGATCCAATAGTCTTTCTAGAGTTATAAAACCCTGCTTGTTTCCTGTTCCAGAAAGAAAGGAGGCCGGGTGCTTTTCTTTTACTCCCTCTTTATCTCCCTGAAGCCAGGGAGCAAATCCTATAAAGGTAGCTAGATAGCCCGCCAGGCCATAGACCGTGTGGGCCCAGCAATGCCACGTTTAGGTGTGGACATAGGCCACACTCCCCGAGCTGCTCCGCCTTACCCCAGAGAGTGGCAATATTGAGTGGACATGGGTGCTGGCCAGTCCTGGGTGCTGTGCTCCTCTTGTTTCTCATAAAAGGGCAGTGTGGGACAGGGACCAAAGGCAAGAATCAGGTGCAGGGTCTGGTTTCTGCTCCCCTGAACTTTGCTGAAGTGGTCGGGGCATTCATCTTAACCTGGGTGTGCGGGGGAAACTGTAGGGCTCAGTCTGACACCTCAAATCCAAACAGAGTTTTATGGGGAAAATGGAGGCCAAAAGAGGGGCACATGAAACTATTATACGAGAACTGTATTGGTAACATATCGCCATTTGTCGTCCTAATAGTAATCATTATTACTGTTACGAGCAGCTACATTTAGCGGGCATGCTGTGAACCAAGAGCAGGGCTGAGCACTGTAGTGTCTGAGTAAAAGCTCCCACCATCCAGGGCTGTGAAGAAAGGCTGTGGGATTCACACCAGCCTCTGACAGGCCCCAAGTCCACCTTTCCTGCTTCCCAAGGCTTATTCCTCAGAAAGCTAGTGGACATTGTGCCGTAAAAGGGTCATCTGGCCATGTAAGTTTGGGAGACATCAGAGTGAACAAAACTAAGAGCCTTTCTAGGCTAACGCAGTGGTTTTCAAACTAAAATCACCTCAAAGGCTTATTCAAATTCGAGGACTGGGTCCCACCCCAGAATTTCCTACTTAGTAGGGGCCTGAGAATCTGCATTTGTAATGAGTCCCCAGGTAGATGCTGATGCTGGTCTGGGAGCCACACTTCAGAAGCTCAGCAAAAGGGATATCAGCAGTGGGTCTATGGTGAAGGGCCAGGCATTTCTTAGACTTATTGGCCTCCTGGCTCAAGGAGTCCAACTTTGAGGACACTGCACACCACTCTCACATCCTTTGAGTTGTCCATAGGGAGTTCTGGAAACACAGGCACAGGATCTAACACACTGCTTTATACCCGACCCTGACCCCCATGACCTTGACCACACAACACTCAGCCATCTGGGGCCACGAGCTCCCACTTTCCTCTGTGCTGCGCTCTGCCTGCACTAGAGGCCAATTCTCCTATGAGCTCACTTGACTGCCTCCTGCTGCAACACAGCCTGTCACAGTCAGGACCTTCCTCAGAGACTGGGAGGAGCTCAGACTCTGGTGAGCAAGGTCCAGCTGCCGAGCCATCCCCCTCAGCCCCTCCACCAGTGTCCTCAGAGACCAGAGGATTTTCATTGCCAAGGCCCTTCCCAGCTGCCCATCTGGAATTCCCACCCGCGGGCTGAGTTCTGAGTGAAGCCAGATAACAGAGGGCCAGCCAGGTTGCAGACAGCGCCATCTGAGCCTGACCCATCCTGCAGGCCAGCGCTGTCCAGTTATGCGGATCTGAGCATAGTTCTGAGATTTGAACCCCACCCCCAGCTTTCAAACCCCAGACCTTCAGACAGGGCCCCTGACAGGACAGGCAACCTAAAATTAACCATGGCACATCTGAGAATGAACCCAAGGGCTATGGCTGCCCACATCAACCGCAGAGCAGTGCTCTGAGAGTTATTATTACACTGAGGTTAGGAGAGGCAGACATCACAGGTGAGGGCTTCAAAGTAATCCCTCTCCATGAGGACACACAATGGCAGAAATATCCCAGATACTAAGTCACCCTCCCAAAGCATGCCCTTTAAATCAGTGAGGCCAATTAAAAACCCAAAAATATTTAGCCTATCTCTCTTGCCCTCACTCCACTGTGAGTGAGTGGATGGGTGGGAATTGTTTACTGCATAGCAGGCCTATTCATCCCTTTGAATCCCCCTAACAACCATTGAGAGAGGTTGGAGTTGTTATACCCATCTCACAGATGTGGAGCCTGAGGCACAGGGAGGTTAACTGACTTGCTGATGAGAGGCGAAGCTGGGATTCCAACCCAAGTCCTGCTGCTTCAATTGAGTCTGAGAAGTCCTGGGTGGGACCCAGCAATGTGTGTACAGCAACGCAAGGGGTGTGTATTTAGGTTTGCTGAGGTGAACGGCTGTAACTCACAGCCCAGCCCAGTGGAGAATTTGAGGGCCCCTTGTCTGTGTGCCAAGAACAATGGAAGGACTTGCCTGCCCCACCCCAGTCCCACCCACTGCGGGTCTTGGGGGCTTCAGAGGGTTCCATGGCCAGGGAGCTGCCAACTCCAGCAACCTGGACCCTTTCACACCAGAATGGAGAAGCCCCAGACTCCCTTTCCAGGCCTTCCACTCCCATGTCTCCCACCTGGATGGAGCCTATGGGCGCCCTATATACCCTGAGGGCAATGACCTTACTTACTGCTCTGATGGTTAACATCTCCACCAAACCATTTCTCTGTGTTTGGAGAGCATGCTGGATATTCTCTCAGAAATTGAATATACAGATTTCCTGGGCATGGTCATTTTGCCCAGGCATTTCCGCTCTTTCCTACACCCCAAACTTGTAACTGAAGAAAGGGGAGAGAAAGCCAGGACATAACATGTAATGTAACCTCCACCCTTTAGTATTTAATATTCCTGCCTCCCCCCTCCAGCCCTTCCCCACATCACCCCTTTTTCAGGCCAAGCCATGGCAAAGAGAGAGACTAAGAGGAGGGCAATAGATTGAGGGA